CGAGCGTAAGAACCAAGAGCTGAAAAAAGGACTTCGAGCATTATTAGCGGACGAACGACACACCTCTTGGGACTTAAAAATTCCTCCCATTCTTTTTGCTATAAGAAATCGTCGAAACGAACGAACAGGTTACCCTCCCTCCGTCTTAGTTCTGGGTAGAGAAAGCAAACGCCCAGGCGACTGGACGTTACTACACAACGAGCCTAACCAATTACTAAAAATTAACAACCCGCGACAAGAACGTGAAAAAAAAATGACAACTTTTAACACCGCTGTGAATACCGATAAAGGAAGTAAGACCTTCACCGTCGGTGACACTGTTTACTATAAAGCACATCCTCTATCGAACGCAGAAAAAAAATTTTCACGCTGGCTTTGCACCAAAATGGTGGGGCCCGGTCAGGTTGGAAGAGAAACTCGGCAAAGGGGTCTTCCTTACCGATCAAATACCACCCCGCAAAGTACACGTTTCTTGTCTTAAACCCCGCGCATAAATACCAAGAAGTATGAAATCTTACAACAGCTGGTAACTAAGCTGAAGACTGACTTTTTAATTATCTATGTAATTCTGTTTGTCCTAGGGAAAAAAAAAAAATGGAAGACAACAAAAAAAACCCCTCCTTTACTGGCAACGAGACGGTAGACCTCCTGTTGCTTCGTTTGGTTGAGCTCAACGAGCAAAGTCGCCAAACATTGCGACAGATAAGGGCTGCCTTGCCGTTAACGGATATTCCCTACCTCAACCTCGAGGAAGTAATGTCTGCGGCTGACGAAGAGCTTATAGCTAATCCGATGACGCGACATATACTTTCTCGGGGATGGGAGATCGGGGCGCAACAATGCCAAGGAATTGCACACTCTTTTGAACCCAGTTCAAAAGAGCAACTCCCTGAAAATAAAAATACGGCTGCACCCCCTGTAAAACCCGCCTTGTCGAACCCTTCGAATAAGCCGCAACCTCCTTTAAGTCCCCGCATCCCATCAATACCATCTTTGATAAGTATACAAATTCGACCTCCCACCCAACCTTTTTTAGCCCTCCAACAAAGAGCAAACCGGTTCGTTGGGCTGGCACCATTCAGGCCACCATTACCCCATGGTATCAGACCAACTTAACCGAGCTCAACCCCAAAAACAAATGACTTAAAGGTTAACGACGGGGCATTCACCTCTTACAGCCAGGAAACTCCCAAACGTAACCCCCCAGTAAACCCAAACCAAGAACCGGTCACAAAAACTAAACATCGTACTCCCGCGAAAATCCGAAAGCGAAAATCCGAAAGCGAAATCCGCACGTCGTCAGAAAGAATTCCGACAACGAATGATGGAAAAAACCAAGGCCAGAAGAAAGGCGGAGAAAGAAGGTGGAGGGCAACAACATAGATTGGAGAGACGTCCCCAGCAACCGGCGATAATGAGTAATTCCCCTCCAAACAACCGAGAACCAACACCCGCAGCCATGGAGGTAGATGAAGATGCGGTACTCAACGCACCGGCAATCACAATGCCTGACTTTCCGGAAGAAGTCCAGGACTTAATTTATTTTTCTCCTCCATCCTCTCCTCATCAATCCAACGACCCAGCCATTTAATCTTACCTATTTATTTTTATTAACATAATTTCCTATTTATTTTATTAACATAAAAAAAAAAAAAACCCCATAAAATTTAACCACTTAAAATGCAGCATTTCAATTCCTTTTTTTTTTTACTACATAAACCCATAGAGCGAACAACCATTTGAGATCAACTTTAAGTTAGACAAACTCGAATTGTTGGTTAAAATTGCTGCGGTTCGATCGCATACGCGTGTAATTGGCGGCTTGGCGGGGGAGTATGACACGGTACCGTATATATTGCGATACGTGAAATACACGGTCACCTCGTCTTTTCCATCAGCCGCCTTATTACATCGCGAGCCCAGCCTGATTAGAGTACCCCCGCTATCTAGTCAGGGTGCAAAGTCGATCTACTGGAGCGCGGTCGACCACCGAGCGCCGGCGGTGAACGCTCTATCTTGTTTTTGACGTCCTACGTGAATTTTATCTATCCGCCTTCGTCACGTGTCGTACATTCAAGTTACTTTTACACATCTCAAATTAAAATCTTAATTTGTATTATTTCTTAATTTAAATCGTAATATATACATAAACATATATTTATATATATTGGTTTATTTAAATTTCTCTGTTTCTCTTGCTCTCGGCCAGCGCCGTTGTAGTACCATTTTAGACATTTTGTGTTACTTATATTATAGTTAAAAAAGAAACTTTGTTGACACTCGAAATACCTGTGTCAA